GGTCCGGCGTCGCCGGGCCCCTGCCGCTGGAGCTGGCAGTGCACAGCCTGCTCCTGGCCTTCCTCCTGGCCGAGATCACGGCCGCCTTCCTGGCACTGCGGAGCATGAGCAAGCAGCTGGCGGCACAGTTCTACCTGAGGTGGTAGGAGGAGGGCGGCCGGGGCAGGCAGCTGGGGCAGGACCCTGCTGCAAGCCCTCCCCAGCCCACACTGTCTGCCCCAGCAGGGAGCATTAAACGGTGCTCAGGGCCCTGCTGCACCTTCACAGTTTGTGAGTCAGGCAGCTGAAGGGTGGCCCAGAGCAGCCCACAGCACAGACCTGGCTGGCCCCTGCCCACCGCCAGGCCAACACCACCCTGGGCAGGAAGGGTTCAGCACCCCTAAAAGGCTCCAGGTGCCCCCAGGGCTGCACTTGTCCTCCAGACCATCAGCTCTGGCAGGGGGCAGGAACCAGGAGCTGCTGCACCCTCCAGCAAGCAAGGCCCAGGCAAGGGCCACTGCCTTCAGCTCAGCTCGTCAACCCTCCCCATGCACAGCAGTGGAGGGGTTTGGCGAGGAGGGAGATAGCCCTGCTGCTCCCTGCAGAGCTCCCAAGGATGCGGGCCACCCATTCCAGCTGGAAGCAGAGAGGGTGCTGATGTACAAGAGGAGCACCACAAACCCTTTGCAGCCAGCCCCAGCGCTATAGAAAGAGCAGAACTGCCTCCCACTTTCCAAGCAGCTTTATTGCATTGGATCCCTGGTTTTCATGGGAACTCCAGGCCCATAGCTATGGGGAATGGGAAGAAGAGCAGTGCTTTAAGCCTCTCATGCCGTGCACGGGCCAGCTGCTTCCCAGCAAGCCCAAGTCCCTGCAGCAGCTCTGCTGTGCGGCTCCACTCCAGCCCCAGCTGGGAGCTGCACGTGGGGTTCATGCTCCAGGAGCCAAGAACTTCTGCTGATGCAAACGTGTGTCTGGGTCAGGCAGAGCCTCAGCCCAGCAGCACACACCCACTGGTGCAGGAGATCAGGGCCTCCTCTACCGGCGCTGCAGCCATGCCCACATCACATCTACCCCAGGTTGCTCTGGAGCACAGGGTGCCTGGTGGAGTGTTCCTGATGGCCCTAAGCTGCAGCCTCACTCTTATCTTGTGGGGGTTTTGCCTGCAAAATGAACAGGGGCATCGTAATTGTACCAGAGAGAAGGGGAAAGCATGGCAGGGGGTGGTGGTGGTGTCCTGCTCTGCTCAGTTCCAGCTCCATTGTTTGATACCCCCATTCCACTTGTGACTCGAGATCAGGCATTACGAATAGCTTTTTCCCCCAGTGGAATGGTGCAGTCCTGGGGCAGGTCACCAGATCTGTCCTCGGAGGTTTCTAACACTTGGCCAGATAAAGCTGAAGCTGACCCGAGCCAGGGCTGGCAGCTCTCCTGCTCTGCAGGGCCCCCCCAGCCCACCCTCTTGGATCCCCCAGTTCCAGGCAGTGCCTGAGCTGACAGCTCCGGCACCCTTGGAGAGCTGCCCTCGGCACATGGGGTTTGGCCACACTCAGTTTGGAAGAGGGTGAATAATGTGGAGCTGGGTCAGGTTCTGTGGTAAGGTCCCCTTGGGGGCTCCTTGTTGTCTAACAGGAGCTGAGGTCATGGTTCAGCTTTCCCTGCAGCCTGGGCACCAGTTTGCTTCCTCTCTTCCACTGCTGCCTGTTGGTATCAAACTTGGAAGAGCTTAGTCTATTGGGCTCGGCTCAGAGCAGCCACCAAGAACCAAAGACTCAGAACTGCTCCACTGGGGCTTTCCCAGATCTTGTGAATCAAGTTTTAACCAAGAGGCAATTAAATCCAATTGTAAAACTTCCCTCCAACCTCATCTCTCCAAAGTGGTCCCATCCTTACCTCCTCAAACTTCTCCTTCCAATAGAAGTCAGCCTTTGCATCCAGGTAGAGCAGAACCAGGTCACAGACCACTGTGGCCTGGAGACAAGACAAGCACAGCAGCATGGTCAGCAGCAGCACCTCCTGCAGGAACACCAGACCCCTGCTCCAGCTCCCACTAAAGCCCTGCAGCCAGCTGGGACCAGCAAACCTGACCTGCCTCCAGCACAAGCCACCCAGGCAGGTCTCTAACCCAGCATGCTTCCATGAGCTGCACAGGAGGTTAGGTGAGATCACCTGGGATGCAGTGCATGAAAGCAGGGCCAGGGCTACATGGACTGGGGATGAGACATGGCTCTGCTGGAAGGGAAGAGCCCCAGAAGTGCTCTACAAGGGGCGGCCCCACCTCGATGATCACACCACCGTGTCCATGCTGGAGCAGGACGCCAGCTCCCTTTAGTCAGGGCACACACACAGGGGCGGTGCTCACTCCTGCAGGCTGAGACAGCTGGAACACACCAGCCAGCAGCACCCCTATCCCAGGGTCACACAACCACCTCCCTCCATGAGCTGTGCCCCTCACAGTGCTTGATCCAGCAGCACAACACGAAAAGGGGAGCTAACACCCTGATCTGGACACCAGGGAGCTGTGTGCCAGGGCAGGCGGGGTAACAGGGGAGAGGCAAATCCCAACCCACAGATCAGAGAAGAGCATATAGAGAATACTCACAGCACCAAAGAACGCGATGCCAGTGCCAAAGCTCACGGCAGCAGGAA